CATCGGGCTCCCTGCTAGGCGGGGAGCCTGCTTCTCCCTTTGCCTCTGCCATTCTCTCTCTCTCTGACTTTCATGAATAAATAAATAAAACATTTTAAAAAAAAAAGAGTAACAGGTGGTTCTAGGCGGGCAGGAGAAAACCACCCTGGAGGGACAGACTCTCCACTCGAGCCGTACTGGATTCCTACAATAAATAAAACTCTGCTGAAGATGAACTCACAATCCAAAATTACCAGCATGTGTGGGAAACAGCCTGCCATGAGCCCACACAGGCCACAGGGTTATGTGCCTCCTGAGAACTTCAGATAAAAAATAAACACTAGAAATTATGTTTTAAATTAGTAAAAGCATAAGAAAGTAATTAAGAACTTTAAAAAAATGTATTGATGCACACACAAAAAACAGATTTGATTTGATTTCAGGTCATGACCTCAGGGTACTGGGATCAAGCCTCGTGTTGGGCTCCGTGCTCAGCGGGGAGTCTGCTTGAGGACTCTCTCACCCCCTCTGCCCTTCCCCCACTCACACACGCTCTCTCTCTGAAATAAACAAGTAAACTTTTTTTCTTTAAGATTTTATTTATCTATTTGACAGAGACACAGCGAGAGAGAGAACACAAGCAGGGAGAGTGGGAGAGGGAGAAGCAGGCTTCCTGCTGAGCAGGGAGCCCAATGCGGGGCTCGATCCCAGGACCCTGGGATCATGACCTGAGCCGAAGGCAGACGCTTAACCGACTGAGCCACCCAGGCGCCCCAAAGATTTTATTTATTTATTTATTTGAGAGAGAGAGACAGTGAGAGAGGGAACACAAGCAGGGGGTAGTGGGAGAGGGAGAAGCAGGCTTCCTTATTTATTTATTTATTTAAAGATTTTATTTAGTTGACAGAGACAGTGAGAGAGGGAACACAAGTAGGGGGTAGTGGGAGAGGGAGAAGAAGGCTTCCCGCCGAGCAGGGAGCCCGATGCGGGGCTCGATCGCAGGACCCTGGGATCATGACCTGAGCCGAAGGCAGACGCTTAACCGACTGAGCCAGCCAGGCGCCCCGGGAGCATATATTTTTAAATCTGCCTTTTAGTTGAGGGCCTCGCCCTCTGAGGGCCTCTGTCTTGAGCAGCATCCCAGTTGCAGCTCTCTGCCTTGTGCAGAAAAGCCCCATCGTCCCTGCTGCTGGGTGTTGAAGACCCAGCCCATAGTTGCTGGGACTGACAGCGGTGTCCCTGCTCCTGTCCAGGAGGCACCGGCTCGTGGCACTGGCCTGGGGCTGTGGTTTCAGCCCAGTGGGGGTTTCCCGTCTTCTTGGAAACCTCTGCAGGGGAATGTTTGACACATTCTGCACAGCGTTTTTGAGGCAGAGAGTGTTTGGGGTAGCAGCGTTTTTCAGGTAATAAGAGCTGCCATATTGCCCAAAACAAGCCGATGTACAGTGTCGAGCGCTTTGACGTGCTTTGTAATCAGTACTTAATGAGCGGCGTGTAATTTTAGAGTTCCAGAGAGGGTCTCCACCTCCTGACTCACACTGACTTTATATTGGAGTCCTGTATCAGTGGCATTTGAACAGGGCACCCCACAGCTACAAGAAAGCTTTAAACCCGCTGGCAATGTCGAACCATTTTCTGGCCAGATTATCTTAGTAAAACATGGTCACAACAAAGTGCAGGGCTGCTAATTAGCTTTGTGAAGAGAGTATTTGAAAAATCAGATCTTTTTCTCTCCACAGGCTTAGGCCCAACGAGACCTTTAATTTCTGCGCTGCCTCCCTGCCCCCCTCCCCCACTTGATTGAAATGGACAGAGAGACCATGGGGGTTGACTTTACCCAGCCAGCTTCTATCTGGTGGGACAAGGTGTCCTCTGTCTCTCTGTTTTGAAGATTTATTTATTGGAGGTGGGGGAGAGGGGCAGAGGGAGAGAGAGAATCTTCAAGCAGCCTCCCCGCTGAGCTCAGAGCCCACCGCAAGGCTCAATCCCACAACCCTGAGATCATGACCTGAGCTGAAACCAAGAGTCGGAAGCTTAACCGACTGAGCCACCCAGGCACCCCGTCCTCTGTCTCTTAATCACTTCAGGCCAGTTAACAGTTTGTTGTCATCTGTGTGTCCTCCTGCCCCCATTCACTGTACAAAAATGTGGAGTGTTGCGGTCAGTTTTAGGGCTAGAAGTAGAAGGAACTGGGATGCTTGGCTGGCACATTCGGTGGAGCATCTGACTCTTAATCCTGGGGTTGTGGGTTTGAGCCCCACGTGAGGTGTAGAAATGACTTAAAAATAAAAATAAAATCTTTAAAAAAAAAAAAAAAAGAACCGAAACCAAAATCCCTTTCCAAGTCTTCTTGCTCGGGTTTTGAAGCAGGCAGGCCCGCTCTTTGTGTAAAGCTCTCTGGCATGCAGCTCCTCTTCCTTGTGTGTGTGTGCAGGAGACCTCGGGCGTCTCTGCTCACACACAGACCTTCGTGGCTGACGAATTGGCCCCTCTGGCCTTCTGCTAACAGGAGGAGCTCTCCAGTTAGCTATTTCCAGTTTCCATTTGCCAGGTTGGTGCACTCTTCAACACGGGGCTCTGAACCTGGGAGCTCAGGTTGGACTTCGCGGGCCCCAGGACTGGTCTTTTGGACACCTCACGTTGCACGCATGTGTGCTTTCAGAGGTTCTGTGGTCAGAGAGTATGGAGAGCCTGGTGATGGTGGGCAGGTGGGCTGCTGTGTCCACATGATAGGGTCACTGTTGTCTCCTTTGGGCCTCTGGTTGCCCCTGAGATTGCAGCTTGGCTCTCTGAACGAGCCGATACAGATTGGTTCTTTGCCTTTGCCTTCTTCAGGATTGATGAAGCCAGTGTTGCCCCAAGATTCCCTCAGTGGGACTGGCTGTCGCTCCGAGGACCAGAACTGTGTGCCCCCACTGCAAGAAAGGAAGGTGGCCGCCCTCGATCCAGCGCCCGTGTGGAGCCCCGAGGGTTACATGGCATTGCAGAGCAAGGGCTACTCGCTTCCCCAGCCAAAATCGAACGACACTTTGGCCATGGACGTGCACGTCAGGTGAGATGGAACTTGGCCCTACTGGCCTGTGATTGAAGGCAGAATCTCCCGTGTCCTGCTTGCAAGGGGCTCGGGGATGAAGCACTGTCCCCAGAGGCATTGCCTGGAGAAAGGGCGCTTTCAGGGATTGGCAGTGCCCTCCGGGGATGGAGAATGTGATGAGGTTTGCTTGAAGGCTTTTGTATGAGAGGCAATTCCCTGCCTGCCAGACTGGCGGCAGCCAGGGAGAGGTCCTAGGTCAGGGCGAGGGGTGGGGCCCGGCGGGGTCGAGTGCCCGGGTCGTGGCTCCTTCCTGTGAAAGTGAAGCAAGCGGGCCCTGCTGGCCCAGTGCCCCAGACTCTCCGCGGACTCCCAGGCTCCAGCTTGTCGTTTGAACTAGAGGATCCCCAGCTGCTCTGCCTCCAGGTGGCACGCTGAGTCCACCAGCCGCCACTGCACTCTTCACTCTGGACTCCGGGGGCCACCCAGCAATCTGTGGCCCAGCAGCTCTGAGACATGTTTAAAGATAGAGCAGATGTTGGTGCTTATGATTTTTTTTCTTTTTCGTTTTCTTTTTTAAAAAATTTTTTTCTTTTTAAAACTAAGCTCTGTGTTCAGCATGGAAACCAGGAACCAGGCTCCAATCACATTGACTGATTTTTCTGGTTCCTTTTCAGGAATGAAAGCTCTTACTCTGCCTCCCCCGGAAGGTCAGGGGGCATAGGTGCCCAGCGCGATCTCCTTGAGGAGAGAGGGGAGGAGTTCTTGAGTGCTTTTGACAAGAAGGCCCAAGCAGACTTTGACAGCTGTGTCTCTTCTCAAAGAATAGGCCAGGAGCTTTTGTTTCCACCCCAAGAAAATATTCAGGAAGCAGGTGCTCCTGGAGGTCACACCCCAGACCTCAGGTGTTCCCCACTGGAGCCTGACTTTGCCCCAGCCGAGAAAAAGCCGGAATATAGCAATTGGGACGTTAGTCACCCTCCAGAGGCCACCAACACAACCAACGGCATCGAGAAGGGGGCGCCCCGGGAGGAGCCATCCTTTAACATGTCCTCCTGGGAGAAGGAAGGGAGCCCCAACAAAGAGCCGCCCCTGGAGCCCGAGTGGACGCCCGAGCCCAGGGGTCCAGGCGGCCAGCACCCGGAGCAGACTGGCAGGACGCGGAGGTCAGGACCCATCAAGAAACCCGTCCTGAAAGCCCTCAAGGTAGAGGACAAGGAGAAGGAACTCGAGAAGATGAAGCAGGAGCTGGGGGAGGAGAGTGCCCGCGTGGCCAAGGAGAAGGGGCCGGTTCGCACGGCAGACAAGGACGAGGACGAAGAGAACGACCCCGCCCTGGCCAATTCCTCCCCCTCCCCCTTGGAGGACCAGGGCTCCGCCCGCGCTAGTTTGGGCCGCGAGGCCAGCAGGTGCGAAGAGGACGAGAAGCCCGACAGGGCCTGGGAGAGCAGACCCTCCCGGGAGTCCAGCGACACTCCCCCGACAAAGAGGAACAACTGGATTTTTATCGATGAGGAGCAAGCCTTTGGGGGCCGAGGGCAGGCCCGGGGCCGTGGCCGCGGCTTCCGAGAGTTCACCTTCCGCGGGCGGCCTGCGGGTGGCGGCCCCGGCCTCTGCGGTGGGGGGGTGCTCGGGGCGCGGGGCATCTACGGCGGCGGCCAGAGGAGCGGCCGCGGCCGGGGGCTGCGGGACTTCGGCCAGCCGGAAGACTTCCCTAGGGCCAAGCCGCGGCGGCGAATCGCCAGCGAGACCCACAGCGAGGGCTCCGAGTATGAAGAGCTTCCCAAGCGGCGGCGGCAGCGAGGCTCGGAGAACGGGAGCGAAGGCTCGCTCCTGGAGCGGGAGGGCAGCGCCCTGAGGAAGGGTGACTTCAGGGACTCCTGGCGCTCCAACAAGGTGTGCTCCGAGGACCACAGCAGCCTGGAGGCCAAGAGCCGAGGCCCTCGCGCCTTCGGCCGGGCGCTCCCTCCCCGGCTGAGCAGCTGCGGCTACGGGCGGAGAACCTTCGTGTCCAAAGAGGCCGCCCACTGGCAGAGCAAGAGCCCGGGCGCCTCCTGGCAGGAGTACAGCTCCCCGGATGCGTGTGGGTCCCGGCGACCTGCAGACAGAGACTGTGTCCCCGACGCATACAGACATTCTGACTCGTTTGGTGCCAGGGCCTTCGAGGACAGCCGCCTGGAGGACAAGAGGCCCTTCTTCCCCGACGACCACGCGGCTGACCCGGAAGGCACAGAGAACCGGCCCTTCCGGAGAAGGCGCCCCCCACGCCAGGACAAGCCACCGCGTTTCCGGCGCCTCCGGCAGGAGCGGGAGTCCCTGGGCCTGTGGGGGCCCGAGGAGGAGCCCCACCTGCTGGCAGGGCCATGGCCGGGCCGGCCCAAGCTCTGCCCCGGGGACAAGAGCGGGTCCCCCGAGCTCTCGTACCAGAACTCGTCTGATCACGCCAACGAGGAGTGGGAGACGGCCTCCGAGAGCAGTGACTTCAGCGAGAGGCGGGAGCGGCGTGAGGGCCCCGGGGCCGAGCCCGACCCCCAGGCGGACGGCAGCCTGCCCGGGGCTGCCGTGGGCGAGAAGAAGGAGCTGGCCAAGAGGAGCTTCTCCAGCCAGAGGCCCCTGGCTGACAGGCAGAGCCGAAAGCTGGAGCCGGGGGGGTTTGGGGAGAAGTCCGTTAGGCCAGGTGGTGGTGACACTTCTCCCCGTTTTGAGAGCCAACAGAATGGGACGCCTTTGAAAGCCAAAAGGTAAAACACAAACCCAACCCCGGGCTCTTTTCTGTTGCTGTTGTTCTGTTACTAAGCCCGTTTTTTTAAGCAGCACTCCATGCATGCGTGTCCCGCCGTGTGTCAGGAGCCCCGACTCTGTCCCTCTGTTGTGCCCCTGGGGGCACCTGCCCGCCAAGGCCATTGTGTGTGAGCATCTCCATCACTTGCTCTTACACTGCTTGTCTGCTTCTCTTGTGGCGTGTTGTCATTGTTGTGGCTTGAAAACCAAAACTTAAGAGTCCCCGCCCCAGTGGTCCTCGTGTGGTGGCCGCCCCGGCACCCGGCCCGAGCATTCAGCCTCCGTAAGTGCCCTTGCTGCCCTGCTGAGGGGGCACTGCCCGTGCATGGTGCCAGTTCCCCAGATCCCTCTGCCCCGGGGCTGCTGTCACCCAGCGTCCTGGGGGGCCTCTGGCCTCCTGGCCCTGTGGGGATAGGTCTTCCCGTGTCTGCCTCCCTACAGTGAGGAGATGCAGCTCCGCTTTGGGGATTAACCGCCTCCTTGTTGAAAGAGCCAGGCAGTAGCGGCAGGGAGTGAGCCGCCTGAGGCCCTGTGAGCATCTCTCGTTGGACCTAGAGGCTTGCAGGTGGCTGGTCTGTGCTCTGGGGCGGCTCATTGCCCGCAGGCTGCCCGGACTCAGGGAAAGGGGGGAGCACGTGCAGGGGGTCACTTGTGCGGCCTGAATTCCAGATCGCATGCAGGCCACACCTCAGGCCGAGGAAGGCTGTTTCCTGCCTCCCAACCTCCTTAGAATCCAGGGCCAGAAACCTGGGGTGGAATTTACTCAGAGCCCCAGAGAAGGAGCCCTCAGAGAATGCTGATCCTTCCAGGTATCAGGCCAGCCTCGCTTTCCCCATCCCAGATGCTGAGACTTGGCTTTGCTTCTGATTTCTGCTGAGAGCCTTGTGCTAGGGCCGGGCCTGGCTCCTTGCTGGCCAGTCTCGTGTGCCAGGAGCATAAAGTTCTGTGGCTCTGCTCGGAGCATCCCCTTCGTTGTCTCCTTTGCCCAGGCCCGCTGAGTTGGGCACACAGTGGGAAGGAACAGAGGCGCTGAGCCCTGGAAGGGGCAGGGAAAGAGCGGTGTTCCCCACGAGCAGGCAGAGCTGCTGCAGCGGGGTGGGCTGGGCTGGGGTGTCCACGTGGCCATGCGCCGCTGCTGGAGAGCAGCTCCGACCGAGCGAGGGGGATGCTGCAGGCCAGGGCGCTGTGTCCGTGCGCGTGCTGTGTGCACATGCAGGTTTTCCTTTTCTCTCCTTCCCCAGCCTTCGGCCGTGTCGGAGCTAACAAGATCCCCCTTCCTTTACAGGCCCCCCGATGAGGCTTTGCCTGGAGGTCTTGGTTGCAGCGGTGGGAGCAGCCACTATGCGCTGGAGCGGGCAGCCCACGCCGCTTCTGACGTCCCCGAAGCCCCCTGTGAGAAGGCAGAGAAGGAGGCCAAGCTGGCTGCTCAGAGGGCGGGTGAACAGGGAGAGACCATGAAACAGTTTGACCTCAACTACGGAAGTGAGTCTGTTCTCTCACGTTTTCAGGGGGAAGGAGAGCCCAGGCCCCCGAGGGCCACGGCGGCCTCCGTGGGGCTGCTGGCTTAGCCCCTTCTCCGAGCATCGTGGCCTCCAGGCAGGTGGGGGGCTAAGTTTCAAGGCTGCATTGGTGAGCAGAACAGATAGGATTCCTACTCTCACATGGCTCACAGCCTTGCCGACCCCCAGAGCCGCCCCATTAAAGAGGGGGAACTGCGGCCCAGAGAGGTTGAGTGGTTTGTCCAGGTCACGCGGCTGGTTAGGAGCAGAGCTGGAACTTTGGTGTTTCTGTCTCCAGAGACTGCCTTCTTAACTGTAGTGCTTCTCAGGTCTCTGGTTTGGGATAACTGTGTGCTGAGGGGCCGTGGGGAGGGTGTAGAGATCCCAGTGGGATTTCTGTAGACCCCACGAACATGCTCTGCTCCTCAGGGGCATCAAGCCAGTACTGGTCGGCCTTCTGAGCTGAGCCGTCCTTAGATACCAGCAGCTGGTAGGGTTGGGTTATCCTTTTTTCTGATGAATGGAAACACTGTCCCTTCTCCTGAAATCTGGGTTCAGATTCCATCATTGAAAACTGCGGGTCCAGCCCTGGGGAGGAGAGTGAGGTGGGCCCCATGGCGGGTGAAGGTTTCATCGAGGTCCTCACCAAGAAGCAGCGCCGTCTGCTGGAAGAAGAGAGAAGGAAGAAGGAGCAGGCCGTGCAGGTAAGGGGGGCGGGGGGTGGGCAGGCTGGTACAGAGAAACCCAGAGTTCCGAATGAAGACCAAGATAGAAGTGGGGAAGGAGGGAGAATGTCCGTGGCCCCGGGTGTCCTGTGAGAGGAGGTTCTCAAGGAGGGTGGTTTGTCCCTGGTGACAGCAGCAGGTCGCAGACCTCCATTAGCCCCTTGGAGCCCACCTTCCTCCCACTGCTCTGGCCTCTGTGGGATGAGGTTTGTCACCCGGCACGTCACGAGGCTCGGGGACCCTGTCCTCAGACGCCATCCGGGCTGGCCACTGCGCCCTCGGCCTCTGTGGTCTGTGTCCATGGGCCTGGCGGCCCCTTCCAGGTGTGGTTTGGTTGGCATTGCATTTACCTGTGGTTGAGGTGTCGAGAGGCGAGCGTTCCAGCACCTCTGGAGCAGTTTCCGTGGTAGGGTTTGGAGGCCCGGGATGCTCTCCCTGGGAAGAACCTGTTGTTCTTCATGCTTCACATCAAGGCTGGACACGTCCCCTTTCTTCTCCTCAGATGCCTGTCAAGGGCCGAGGTCTTTCCTCCCGTATTCCTCCTCGGTTTGCTAAAAAGCAAAACAGCTTGTGCCTGGAGCAGAGCGACGTGACCGTGCCTGGCAGTAGCCTGGGCACCGAGATTTGGGAGAGCAGCGGCCAGGGTAAGAGTTGGGTGCTTGGGCTCAGCTGCTTGGCTCAGGGCTGTCCCCTGCGCCCGGGGTCCCTTCTCGGGAGCATCCTGCTTTGGGGCCCTGTATCCATGGAGCTTTACCTGTTTGCTGCCTCCTCTCCAGAGCCACAGTGTTACTAGATACCATCTCAGCCCCACTTGCGGCTGCAGCCCCCGGACAGAAGTACACTCTCCCTGCCTGAGATTTGGGGCAAGAGCACACCGTTCTGTGTGTGCAGGGGTCTGAATGACGAGAGCCCCCGGCCCTGCCCGTTACCCTTTCTTCCCCCTGTGCAAGAGCAGCAGGTGACTACGAGGGAGGAGGGGTCAGAAGCTTTCCTGTCTGTGCTGCGAGCCGGCCCCGACCCTGGGCCGTCCTGTCAGTTCCTCCCGATGCTCTCATAGCAAGACAGGGAGCAGACCTGACTTCTTGGAAAATTTGTTTCCCTGAACTTTTCAAAAAAAAATTTCAAATCCAATGCTCTTTTTCTGGTAACTGTTCATTTTAAAATACAAAACCATTTTAATCAAGCAGATTCTTCTTTAAAGACTACTCTGGGCAGAGCCCTGCAGAGTACACAAGTGAATGAAAGGACGCATGATGCCTCACAGGGGAGCTTAGAGAAGTTGTCATTTCCAGTGTGTAAATACAGCGTAGCCGAGGCTTCTAGAGCGCAGAGCCGCGGGACAGACACCCACAGTTCTGGGTTCTGGGTGTTGATTCTTTGAGTTTTATCACGTCGACCTTGCTTCCAGTACATTGCAAAGTAACAGTGGAAGAGGGGCGCCTGGATGGCTCAGGCAGTTAAGTGTCTGCCTTCAGCTCAGGTCATGATCCCAGGGTCCTGGGATGGAACCCCACGTCGGGCTCCCCGCTTGGCGGGGAGCCTGCTTTTCCCTTTGCCCCTCACCCTGTTTGTGCTCTCTACATGCTCCCTCCCTCTCTCTCTCTCTCTCTCTCTCTCTCTCAAATAGATAAAATCTTTAAAAAATAAAAATAAAAAATAAGTAACATTGGAAGAGACCCAACTTTGATTGGAAGTATAATCTCTTAAATAAAATATTGATGTCACATGCTTTGGTTGCACGTGTGAGTGATGCTTAGCACACTCTGAGTGTCCACAAATACCTGCCAGCTTGTCATTCGGAGCAAACTAGACTCCAGTTGCTTCTGCTCTTGGGCCTTTGCCAAAGGCCAGGATGCTCCAGCGCCTCATCGGCTGCTCAGAGCCAGGGCCCCTGGACCTGAAAACGGCGTGTCAAGTTTTGTGTACATACACGGGGTCTGAGGCTTTTGTGGGAATCTTGGAATGGTCCTGGAGCTAACAGGAGTCGGTAATACTGGCCTGAATCTTTGAGAGTCTTTTGTGGGAGCTGCCGGCTTGTAGAAATGAATTGTTGGCTTAAGCAAAAGAAAGCTTCACTGCGCAGGGGTAGCAATACGGAATCCTCCCAGATGTGCATGAGAAGCTGCTAGCGAGCCTACTAGGGCATGTAATCAATGAAGGACAGAGAAGCGTGTTTATTAGAGTCTGAGGACGCTGGAAAGTTGGGTAACGCCAGCTGACTAGCTTCTGTGGATCAGATCTCTCTGGCGTGCCGTTGACAGGCAGGGAGGACAGATGGTGGCCTGGGTGTGTGTCTGCGGCACCCGGGCTTGTTTCTCCAGCCTGGGGGCTCCTCTGTGATGCGCTGACTCTCTGTCTTGCTCCCTCGGGCAGCCCTCCCCGTTCAGGCCCCGACTAACGACTCCTGGACAAAAGCCGCCACTGCCTTCAACAGCGCCGAGCCTGGCTCTGCCGAGGTGAGTGGCTGCCGCCTGCTCGGGGCTGCGCGCGTGCTCAGCGCCCCCGTGGCTGGCTCTTCCTGGGCCTCGTGCGCCCAGTGCCTAGCCCGGCTCTCCCTCACCACGGCCACCGAGCCTGGCCCCGGGGCCATCTCCGCAGGCCCTGGCTTGGTGCTCATCTTTGGCCCTGACCCTCATCTGTGTGAAGGGTCGAGAGTGGGGAATAACCCGGGAGAGTGGGCGAATGGGGCCTCTCCTGCGAGGCTGTGGTGGCGGTCTGTCTGACCTGGGTCACAGGGGGATGAGCTTGGCAGCCGTGTCCCTGGCACCTACTGCGTGTCTTGTGGTTTTGACCGTGTCATCAGTTGTTGGGTACCACTGGCAGGTCAGGGCAGAGGTCGGGACAGCACTGAAAGGGACAGGCATACTGGGGGGATGTGTCTCAGCCACGGGCTTGGTCTTGCTTCCTGGTCCCATGTTGGAGTTTGGGGGTCAGGGCTCTTAACCCGTTTTATGCCTTGCACAGCAGGGTTTTAAGAGCAGCCAGGGGGACAGCGGCGTTGACCTGAGCGCTGAGTCTCGGGAGTCGTCTGCCACCTCCTCCCAGCGCAGCTCCCCGTACGGCGCTCTGAAGCCGGAGGACATGAACGGGCCTGGCCTGGAGCCCAAGGCTGACGGCCACAAGGAGCAGGCTCAGAAGCAGTCCGAGCCGAAGGTGAGCTGGAAGTCCATTCACAGAGGCCTGGGCCAGGGCAGGAGGCGCTGTCGTCCTTTGTCCTCGTCCCCTCTTCCTAGGGCTAGGAAGCTGGGGGTTGGGGTCCTTCCAGCCTGTGTTTCTCAGAGTCTCTGCTTTTCCATCAAGGATACAGAACAAGGGTCAGGACAGAGCAAGGAGCACAGACCAGGACCCATCGGCAATGAGCGTTCTCTGAAAAACAGAAAGGGCTCGGAGGGGGCCGAGCGGCTGCAGGGGGCCGTTGTCCCGCCTGTTAACGGGGTAGAGATTCACGTGGACTCCGTGCTGCCGGTGCCGCCCATTGAGTTTGGAGTCAGTCCAAAAGTAAGGCTTGGATGTGTCTCCTTCCCCTCCCCCCTTCTTTTTATGGCTGGAGAGAGCAGGCTGCTGAGACAGGCTTGTCGCCAAGAAAGAGCAGGGAGATCGGAGCGACACAGCTCTCTCGGGGAGCATATCGGTGTGCTGGACGCGGCAGGTGCTACTGAGCTGCCCTCTGGATTATTCTCCTGACACCAGCCAGGTTCTCCGTCTGAGCAGACCCGTTATCTTCACTGTCTCCATTGGGTTGGCCAGTGGGCACAGGCAGGGAGCACAGAGGGAGGGTCGGGGTGGCATCTTTTCTTGGGTGCCGTCTGGTGAATGCTGCTCAGCCGATTTTTTGAGTCACTGAGACTGGATGAAATTAACAAAAGGTGGGCCAGATAATTTCAGTGGGCTCTTCCTCCTTTTCAGGACTCTGATTTCAGCCTGCCGCCTGGTTCTGCCTCTGGTCCTTCGGGGAATCCGGTTGTCAAACTTCAGGATGCCTTGGCCAGTAACGTGAGTCTGCTTCCCCCCAGGCTCTGTTGTTTCCTGTGCTGGCAGGCCCTGGAGAGACGGGAGCAAGCCTCTTGTGGCGGGGGTGGGGGTGCAGTGGCTCTGAAGCCAGAGGAGGGGACGAACACCAGGTTTGGAGTCAGCCGCCTGACTCGGGTGTGAGGTGTGACATGTTTTCCAGCTGGATGCATGTCTTTGGGCAAGTTGTGTAAACATTGCACACCCTGGTTTTGAGATCTTAAAATGGGGAAATGTAATTCCTAAGGTCTGGTTTATTTGGCATTCTGTGATTCTCTGATCTTCCACGTTCTGTGGTTATGTATGTTTGATGCTACTGGGACAGATGTCTTTATTCTGAGCAGTTTCTCGGAATCCCTGTAATACGTTCCTGGGCACTGGGCGTTGTGTGGGAGGGTCTGTTGGCCACATTTCCGAAGAAATGTTACAAGGATCTCTTTTTTAGTTTTCGGATGGGGAGGCTGAGACAGGACCTGAGATCTCCAAGCTAGGTCCCGGCGCCTCTGTGCTCCGTGGGGTGGGGGCGTGGACGTGGCTCTCCGTGGATTCTGTTGCGGGAATCCGTGAAGGCATCCATCAGGAGGCTATAACCATGGTGTCTGTTGCTGGCAGCCTCATCCCGGGGGTATTGAGTGCATGTGGCCCAAACTGAAGGGACATTATTGCTATGCTGTCATATTGCATGGTTTCCTTTTCCCCTCCAGGCGGGCTTAACGCAGAGTATTCCCATCCTCCGGCGCGACCATCACATCCAGAGGGCCATCGGCCTCTCCCAAATGTCCTTCCCTACCGCTGACCTCACCCTGAAGGTAAACCAGCACAGAGCTAGGCGGGGGCCACCTGGGTGCCTTAGCTTGGGAAGGGGCAGGAACAAGCAGCCCTGCCTGCCGTCCCGTGTCCGCTGTCTGTGCTAGCCGCCGCCTCCCTGGTGGTAATTCTTCCGCTCCCCTCACTTTTCAGATGGAGTCCGCGCGCAAGGCTTGGGAAAACTCGCCCAGTTTGCCGGAGCAGAGCTCTCCTGGAGGCGCGGGCTCAGGCATCCAGCCCCCATCGTCTGTGGGAGCCTCCAACGGGGTCAACTACAGCTCCTTCGGCGGAGTTTCCATGCCGCCCATGCCCGTGGCCTCTGTCGCGCCTTCGGCTTCTCTTCCAGGTTCGCCATTCCCCGGCCCGAACCAGCTTTCGGGGTCGCCTCCCTTCATTCTCAAAAGAGAAACTTGGATTGCTTGAGTGTGCAGAAGTAGGAGTTTGTTGTAGGTCGGGTGGTCATAGCTTCCCAGGCACTGCGGACAACTTGCACTTCTGCTTCCCTGGGAAGCAGAGACGGGGCTCGCCGCCAGTGAGTGGCTCAGCCCTCTGGGCGAGAAGACTGGCTCTCTGCGGGTTAGCAGACGAGACGAGGTCATACCTGGAAAGTGCTTAGTGTCAGCCAAGCATTTCGTAAGCGGTAGCCACCTTTACCACCATGGTGGTGCTCCGAGGGAGAGGCTGGGGGTTTTGAGGGCCCAGCTGTCAGGGTCCCAGTGATAGAGTCCCTGCAGACCATTCTGATCCTCCACTGTGGACTCAGTGCAGCGGGATAGAGAAGCCAGGGGCCGAGAGCTAGGCCACCTCAGCTGCAGTAGAGCTGCTCCCCAGGGTGTGGGCCGGTGGGCCAGGGGTCCAGTGGGAGGGTGGGTTGGAGCCTGTCCCCGCTCCTGGGCCCTGATGCTGCCGTCTGCCCGTGTTCCCCAGCGGGTGAGTCGGTGTGGGCTGCTGGAGCACAGGGCTCTGCACATGCTCCCTCCCGCTGACTCCCTGGGAAAGTATGCACGTGCGAACATCCGGAAACAGTGAGATTTGACTCTGTTCTGTCTCCTCTGGGCTTCTGTTTGCAGGCAGCCACCTGCCGCCTCTATACCTGGACGGCCACGTGTTCGCAAGTCAGCCCCGCCTGGTTCCCCAAACCATACCTCAGCAGCAGAGTTACCAGCAGGTGATGATAGCAAGCCAGGCGGCCCCGTGGGGGATGGGGGTGCAGCGCACAGTGGAGTTACTTCTTGCATTGACTTGTGCATTGTCTCGCTTCCTGCGTCCCTCACGTGTAATGCCCAGCTCCCAGCCTGTCCTAGCAGCCAGGAGATGTTCAGTGAACAGATACAGGAGAGATAGGGAAGAGGAATGGAGCCCTGGGCTCCAGACTCTTAGTTTCCCTCTCTCAGAGTTCTTCCTGTGTCCTAGCTGGGGAATTAGCTGAAATGGAATTCTCTTTGGTATCCTTTGGTATCAGGTATCCTTCTGATGAAGAGAAGAAAGGCCTAGAGTCCCAGGCATGGATGCGTTAGAAAGAGGTAGTTTTAGAAACGTGCAGGCGTTTGTTTTCATGCAGGATGGGCGTATTTTCTGTGCTGCAAGGGGCAGATTTCTGGAAGCCTCCTTCCTGAAGCTGGTGTGGGGCCTTCTGATGGTCCAGCACCCCAGGGACCTGTGGGCCAGGATGGTGGGGCCCTTGGGCAGGAGCAGATTTGGGGACCGAGGACAGAGGACTTTGCCTGTCCCGACCTCTTTGTAAAACGTATTTTTAAATACCACATCGTTTAGATTTACAAGATGTTGATCTTCACGTAACCGGATCGTACCACATGTATTCCTCATGTACGTGTCCCATCCACCGTTGCTTCCGAAACGCACCGCTCTCAGTACCTGTGGCTAGGATTCATTCTTGCTGTTGTACAGAATCCAGTGTAGGAACATACCAGGGTTTGGGATTATTACCCATTGTTTGCTTTTTCCCAAGAGCAAGGAAAGCACCGGAAGGACAAGCCCCAGTGTGCATTTGGGGCAGTGTTTCAGCTGCCGTGTGGAGGGGGGGTGGGGTGCGGGCTGGGGTGGAGAGGCAGCCTGGAGGGCCCTGCGGTTACCTACCCGGCTTCCCATCTGCAGGCTGCCGCTGCTCAGCAGATCCCACTCTCCCTTCACACGTCTCTGCAGGCTCCAGCCCAGCTGGGACTGAGGGGCGGGCTCCCCGCCTCCCAGGCTCAGGAGATCTTCAGCTCCTTACAGCCCTTCAGGTGAGATGCAGCCAGGGAGGCCCACCTCCCAGACCTGTGGGCTCGCTCCCTTTGTTGTACGGCTGCTCCACGCTTTCCTGCTTTGGGGGGGGCGGTGGAGGGGGTGGTCACAGTCCCTTTCAGAGTCATTATTAACTGCCGCAGGAGCTGCGTGGGCCTGATGGTCCTCCGTAGGCCTTGTTTTTTCTTTCCACGTCATCCTGCCCCTTCCCAGCCCTTCCCCGTCCTCCCTTCTCGCCGGTCATGACCCTTGGTCTGCTTTTTCCATGAGTCTGAAATCCCGGACCTTTAGCATCACGCAGGTTTTCCCTGCCTTGTACAGCCTGGATGTGTGATCTAGTGACGCTCAAACTGGCTCCTAGACCAACATCCACACCATCTTTGGAGCCTGTTGTAAATGCAGATTCTCAGGCTCTGTCCCAGACCTCCTGAGTCAGAAACTCGGTGCGGGGGGTGGTGAGGCCAGAAGTGTGGGTTTTAGCAAGCCCTCCGGGGGGTCGTGGTGTGTGCTCTTATTTGAGGTCTTGCTGTTGCGCTCCCACCCCTGACCCACTGTCTGTCTGGCTTTTGCAGATCTCAGGTGTACATGCATCCCAGCCTGTCACCGCCCAGCACCATGATCCTCTCTGGAGGCACAGCCTTGAAGCCTCCGTACTCGGCGTTCCCAGGCATGCAGCCCTTAGAGATGGTGAAGCCCCAGTCTGGCTCCCCCTACCAGCCCATGAGTGGGAACCAAGCCCTGGTCTACGAGGGCCAGCTGGGTCAGGCTGCAGGCCTGGGCGCCTCCCAGTTGTTGGACTCCCAGCTCCCACAGGTCAGGAATTCAGTCCCTCCTGCCCAGAACACTGGGCCTCTTTCTTTCATGACTGGTTTTCCTTTTTATCTGCCTCTTGATGTGTGATTTGCTGCTTGTAATCTTGTGGCTGATCCTTGGGCTGCTAGAACCGGGGGGGCCAGGTCCTCTGCCCCTTGGGAACGGTCCCGTCTCCTATTTATCCCCTGAGAACACTGATTCTCCCACAGCCTCTCCTCACCCTCGTCCCGGGGGGCTTGGAGATGGGGTGCATGTCCTGGCGTACCCACTGATGCTTCTAGACCTCTCTCCCTCCCTTTTCCCCAAAACCCCAGCTCTGGAGCCCATACAGTCCGCTGCCCCAGTGGCCTGCGTGTTGCTGTGATTCCACACAGTGAATCCAGTGTTGGCTCCTTATCTTCCTCACGACCGTCAGCAGTGTTGGATGGCTTTGAGGGTCACTCCTCCCCTGCTTTGGCCCCTGACTCAGGCTCCCCAACACAGTTCCTAATCTAGCCACTGGTGGTTTTGATGTCTGCATAGATGATTGCCTGGTCTCTGTTCCATGGCCCCTTTACCCCCCACCCCGCCCCGTGCTCCGCTGTGCTCACGGTCCCCAGGCTGGTCAGTGCCAGAAGCAGTCCCTCTTCCGTCATCTCAAGCTTAAGGGGCTTACCACTCTCCAGCTCTGCTGTTCTGGCTCTCCCCATCTAGCGCCCCAGCTCCGGCCACCCGTTTACCACCTGCCCCTGTGGGCTCACTTCCTTTCCTGCCCAGCTTAGCGGAGCTGTCCTGTTGCATTTGCCCTCAGCGCCCCCTCCGGTGTTCTCACCTTGGTAAAGTCCAGTCCTGGGTCTGCACAGCCGTCTGCGCCTACGGAAAGCCAGACCCACTCGGGCTACACGCAGCCAAGTGCCAACAGCCACCTTCGGGAGTGTCCATGTCCCCGCACTCAGGCCCGTCAGTCCCCTGCCCCCACTGCCGGTTTCAGACTTGCAACTTTCTCCTTGCCGCCTTCACCCGCGGGATCTTGCTTCCCATGTCACTAGAGAAATACAAGCAGTGACAAAATGAGATCTTGTACAGAGTGCCCCCTGCCGGGTCTCCTGCCCCAGGGGTAGGCTGGCCGTGCCTGGGAGAGGCCCTTCCAGCCAGGCTCCTGCTGGGTCCCTCACACGCGCTGCAGGGCCGCCCTCCACGGAGGAGGAGGAGCCTCCTGTTTACACCCAGCCGACCCTATTATTCCACTCATTAAAGAGACCCAAAAAACCCATGAAACTTTTTTTTAAGGACACCAGTCGATTCCTGATGGTTATTTTTTACTCTCATGCTGCTGACCCATCGGCAGCACTTGACCCAGAGGATGCTCATAACCCCCTGGAATCGTGTTCTTCGCTCTGGTTTGCAGGCACCATCCTGGTGAAAACCTCTTCCTCATCTGCGTGGTCTGCAATCTCCCCGTGCCCCCGGGCTCTGCCCTCTAACCTCTGTCTGGTCCTGTGGCTCTAAGTCCCATCAAAATTTGGGCCTTTCCAGTCCCACCAGGTGTCTGATTTCCAGCCCGTGGGCTGCCTGTCACTTCTCCTCTGGCATCTTACGGCATCTGCAACATGATGCGCGAAGGCATCAAGTCCGAAACGTGATTTTTCTCCCGGCCCTTCTGGCTATCTTGTCCATGTCACCCGTGCGTCCCCACTTGCCCTCACACCCCCTCTGATCCTTCAGCAGGAGCTTTTGGCTCTACCTTTAGAAAGTATTCAGATTCTAGCCATTTCTTGGGCCCAATAGTCTGTTCTCAACACGGCAGCCAGGCTGCCCCCTAAAACACCAGTCTGGCCACACCACACACTCCAAAGCATAGCGCCGTCCTCCTCTTCGTCCCACACCCTGTCATGTGCAAGGGGGAGTGTGGGGTCTGGAGGCTCTGGCTGCCACTCGTCTCCATGATGCGGTTCCAGTAGATCCTTCTGACCCCCCACTGTGGACTCAATGCACGGGGGATGAAGAGGAAAGTGACTGAGAGACAAGTGGCTTCCCTGCCCCGGTCCTGAGTCTCCAGGCCCCCCTCCCTGTCACCCACGTGGTGCTGGACTTGAGAAGTGGTCACGAGAGCTTGCTGTCACCACCCCCCCCCTCATAAACACACATTCTGCTGCCATAATAGCCTTCAGAAGGATCCAAGAGTCTCCAGTTCCAGGAACCCTTAACCCCGGAACCCAGTTGAGTTTTCCATCACCTTTAGAGGCAAAACAGTAAAGGGGTTTTGCCTTTTTGTGCCTCGAAAAGGAGTACGTAGATACACATCCATACAGCGTCCGTTTCTGGGGATTCGCTTGGACATTACTTGCCGAGAAGCCCCCCTGACCTTCCCTAACTCTTCCCCGCCCCCACGCACAGGGGGTTTGCTGCCTGCACTCCCCATGCTGGGTCCGCGTCCGGTGCGGCCCTGTCCTCGCTGCTCCCTGGGTCTCACCGTGTCCTTGTGCTTCCCCCTGGTGCACATACCGTGCACTCGGCAAACCTTTGCTGGGCAAAAGCAAGAAGGTCTGGGGTGCATGTGGCCCTGTGCCGCTCTGGAGAGGAGCCGCTCGCATCCCACGCTTACCCCAGGAGCACCTCACAGCGTGGCACCTGCTGGCACGGCCCTGAGCTTATCTTCTCCACCTGCCTGGTTCCATTGGCCAGGCTTGCCCTGCCTTCGAGGGCGTGCCCTAGCGGAAATCCCGAACCTGTCTTACCTGAAGTATAGCGTGTGTCTGCTCTCGGGGCCACGTGTAAACAGTAGCTTATGGCTTCCTCCCCGACATCCGATCTTCCTCTTGACTGTCCCTGTCCTCCAGCAGCTGACGATGCCGCTGCCTGGCTCCCAGCTCCCCCTGCCGCGGTACGGCTCTGGACAGCAGCCCCTGATTCTGCCACAGTCCATCCAGCTGCCGCAGGGGCAGAGCCTCTCTGTCGGGGGGCCCCGAAGAATCCTTCCACCCGGCTCCCAGCCTTCGGTCCTTAACACCAGCAGAGAGGTAAGGAGGACTCCATCCTGCTGCATTCTGGGGAGAATCGTTGCTAGCTAGTCAGGAAGCCTGTTGGGGCAGAAAGGGCCAGGGGTTGGGGTGCAAGCTCTTGGCCTCACCAGACCACTGGTTTCCTGCTCGTGGTGAAGTCCTCTAGGAACCCCATGGTGGGGCCCCTTGGTTCCTGTGTAAGCTAGTTGCATGAGCCGAGACCCAGAGCAGAAGGGAAAGGGGTGTGTGGGGGTGATGCCTGGGGCCGATGGGCCAGGGGAGCTGTGATGGGGCCGTCTAGAGACTGGTCCCAGACATCCCCATAGAGCGTGTCTAGGACTGGGGTCCAGGCTCTGCTGATGGCCCATCCTGGTGGGGCACAGTCCTCTCTCCCCACCCCACTTCAAGAGAACAAAAATGGGACAGTTCTTGTTTCCAAGAATTGCCTCTCAAGCCTAGACTTGAGGGGAAGGGGAGTGCTGATTCCTTTAGACGATCCCTCTCTCCCTGGAAATTCTCATCGGCTCTGCACAGGGTGGGTCAGTGATGGCTGGGCATCTCCAGGGCCATCAAACGACCACTCATTCCTTCTTGGTGTCTTCAGTCCTCTCAGATGGAGATGAAGGGCTTCCACTTTGCCGACAGTAAACAGAATGTTCCTTCAGGAGGCTCCGTGCCATCACCACAGACTTATAGGTAAAGAAATGCCCTGGGGGTCGGATGCTGCGTCACCCAGTACTTGGTCTAGACAGGACTCAGTGGTTCAGAAGAGTCTCGGGCCCAGGGAGAGCCGAAGAGGGGCATTGAGGCTGGGTCCCTTTGAGGCCGGGTCCCCTTTGAAGCCATGTGTCACCTTGAAGTTTCAGTGTTGGGACACACTCATGTTTTAGTTAACCGCGGGGAAATCAGGAACTGACAGAGTGGTTTTGCTTCTAGTTATCATAATAAAATGCTCTGGTTTGGGAGAGTTTTCTGGAAAGGTAGGAAAAGGAACGGCTGACATTTTAATAGTGTGAGGCCTGACCTATTCACAGCTTTCTCGCCAGATTTTCCAAAGGATTCAGTGGCCAGGAAAGTACACTCCCTGGAAGGCGAGGAGAATTTCCTTTCCCAGGGCTGCATGTTCCCCGCATTGGCCTCGCGGGGCCGTCATTGCCTCTCACTGCACGGACTGGCCCCTTCTCTTTGCGTCCTCGGTCTCGGTCTCTGCCTCCAGTAACTGTCCCAGGTCCCTTAACTGGATTTGGAGGTGGCTTTGGATGAGTCCCGGTACTGAATTGCTTACTATACTAGAAAGTTGAAGAATCTCTGGTTCCACGGAGCTGTTGGCCCCTGAGGAGGAGTGTGCCAGGAGGGGCAGGCAGCATGCTCCGGCCTGGGGCCCGCGGGTGGGTACAGTCGGCTCTTGATGCACGTGGGAGATGCCTGGAGCGCCCTCCTGTTTGTAAGCGAGTAGAACAGACACGCGTGATTTGGGGCGCTCCGTGAGGTTAGCGGCAGGGCTCCAGGGCGCCCCGAGGTCCCTCTAGGGGCGCACAGCCACCCTCCAATCGGGCAGCACTCCCACAGATCAGAGCACCATCTCGTTCTCCTGCTCTGGAAGCGTCGAGGCCGGGTCCTCGTCCCTCCCGTCTGCCCCGTCACTCCACGCTCCACCTGCATTTCCAGAGAAAGGCATTTGTGGGACCTTTTCCCCATTCCGTCCTCTTTTCTGTTCTTACCTTACTCTCTTGGCTTCGTTTATTTTTGTTTATTAGTTTGTTTTGTGGTCTGACCATATTTTTCACGTAGGCTCAAACAACAGAACTGTATGAAAAGTACAGGTAGATAGCAACACAGAATGATGAGTATCATCCGGAGTGATGAGGGCAGCTCTGTGGATAAACAGATGCTGTCCCCCTGCTGCCGTGGGCGGCCGTGAGCAGCTTCTGGCCGCAGAGGCAAACCCAGAGCTGACAGAGCCTCCCGTGTCTGGTGAGCGTAGGAGAGACGGCAGTGGGCTCTTTGGAGAACATGTAGAAGATAGAAGCCTTCACGAATGGCCTTTGTTTTGTTGGTGCTGTGGCGGGGTGGGGAAAATTGGTGTATTTCTATAGAACGGTGTTTCCCAAGTTTTCTGGAAACAGGGCTTCTGAGGCATGCCCTGCCAAAAAAGGGTTCCCTGGTCAGACACTGGGGGGGCATGCTTGGGGGTCGTGGCCCTCGGCACAGGGCCTGGGCACCCCCACTGTCGAGGGTCCTGAGGAACTCCACACACAGCTCTTCTCAAGCTTTTGACCCCTAGTCAACATCCAGGAGAACTGGTTGTCTGGTCAACAGAACACATTCAGAAAGATGTTCCGACAGATTTTTGTTCCTTTCGGTTCCGCCCCCCTCCCCCGTCTAAAAAAGTGAAAACTAGGAATAAACTTGGCCCCATTCTGAGATCTGCTTCATAGACTATTGGTGTGGGTCACAGAGTCCCGTTGGTCCAGACCCTCTAGACCCCGAGAGACGGTCAGTGCCCGTCTGCCTGTCCGGTCAGTGTCTGCCCGCAGCCGGGGCCTCGGCCCCTTTGCCCTCGGCCGTGTCTCTATGACCTGCCCCGGCGCCCTCTGCACTCCGCTGTCTGAGGTCTTGCCTTTCCTCCGTCCGAGAGGGCGCCACCCGAGCCAGGGCCGCGCCGTGTGCTAGGCTTGACTCGGTTTCTCTGGTGACGTGTGTGTTCTCACCCCCTGCCTTTGGTTTTTTCAGGCCTAGCTCTGCTAGCCCCAGTGGGAAGCCCTCTGGATCAGCAGTTAACATGGGCTCTGTGCAGGGACACTACGTTCAACAGGTAGAAGATGGCTTTCCAGACCCTCCAGCCCCGGACGCTTAGGCCCATCTCCAAGCGCCAAAAGAGAAGGGACTGTCCAACCCATTTGAGTGCTCCTCTTAAAAAGAGAGACGTGCCCTAGCGCTTAGAGCGTGGCGCCGGGAGCCGGCAGCCCGAGTCCCTCCTGGCGAAGGCATTTCTCCTCTTGATGGGCGTCTGGATCCTTCCTTGTCCTGCAGAGAAGGGAGGATGCGGATTCCTCTGAGGAGGTGGCGCCAAAGGTGGACCCTCCCTCCATAGCGATTTGGGCTGTGAAGGCGCTGGGACTTGGTTAGGTCTGTGGGTCAGCTCTAGAAGCCGCGTGTGTGTGCGTGCGCGTGCTGTAGCTCTAGTAAGTGCTGTGTCTCGTCTCTGTCTTGGCTGGGTGGGAGTACCGTGGAACGCCGCTTTCCCATTTTGTAACAAAAGGGGTCTCTCAGTGTCTTTGCCTTCAGGCACTGTTCTCGGCCGCTACTCTAAAATGCAGTGGCACTCCAGAGCTCACACACGGCAGGCGTGGCTTTTTATTAAAACCGCATTCCTGGCTGATGGAGGCGGAAGTTTGATCGCTCATTACGCTCCTCCTAACTTGGTTCCCCGGAGGGTCGCTCCTTGAATTGCTTGGACTGAGCTGCTAAAGCTTTCTTGCAGAGTTCACACCCCGGTGGGGGGCAGAGTCGAGGCTGACCGCAGACCTGCAGGTTACTGGGACCCTGAGTGGGAATCTTGAGGCCAAATGAGGGTCCTGGGAAAAGGTTTCTGGAGAGCAGGAGTTGGGGGGGGGCGGTTGTCGAAGATCGGGGAGGACCAAGTCCATGTAGTGGCCCCGTGCCCCTTGGCAAACATTCGGGAGTTCCAGTTGTGGAGTGCACTTGGGTGTGCTCGGGGGCTTTTTGCCCTTGCGGCATGGGGTGCACTGATTTGAGAAGGTCCTTGCAAGTTGGCCTTGGATGTGCCACTCTTGCAGAGGCCCGTGGCCATCATGGGGTGCTTCCCGGAGGACCGAGCATCTTCCTGCCTCCCTGAATCACTGCCCTCAGCACCCGTGGGAGGGGAACAGCAGCTCGTGCCTGTGTCCTTCCTCGGGGAGGTCCTTCTCAGTCTGGTCCTTCCACCAAAGGATGGCCCTCTTAGGGTAGCTTTCCTATGTGTGACTCAGGAGCAGGCAGGGGGCGGTGGGAGCTATGTATCCAGACAGATGTTTCTGCATAAGGGTAACTGTCTCTGTCGCCATTCATCTGTCCAAAGGCCAAACAACGAGTGGATGAAAAACCCAGCCTGGGAGCCGTGAAACTGCAGGAGGCCCCCTCGGCCGCCTCCCAGATGAAGCGAACAGGAGCAATCAAGCCTCGGGCGGTCAAAGTGGAGGAGAGCAAGGCCTGAAGGTGCTTGGCCACGCCTCGACCCCCCCCACCCCCCCCAGAGGACAGGGCCGCCGCTCCGCCTTGACACAGCCAGACACTCGGACATCTCGGACATCTCACCAGATCCACCGTCCAACCACCTGGCCCGGACTGAGAGACCTCCCTTCCCTTGTCCACTCCCGAAAGCTCCGTTGTCCAACAAGCTTGCCCCCGTGGATATGTGGCACTGACCTGCTCGCTTTACTACGAAGCAAACAAGCAAGCAAACGACCCCATCCCCACGTTGTCCCCGTCTCCTGTCCACAGTGACTGTGGAGTGACTCGAGCCTTTGTGCAGTACAGATGATCCCGCCCCTCCCCGTCCCACCCCTCCGCCAGGGCGCTTTCTCTGCAGCGCTTCCCACCTCCACCCCCCCTCCACCCCGCCCCAGGCACAGTGGTTTGGCAGCAGGGCCATTTTAGTTTGAGGCTTTTTGTTTTAAAAAGCAACTAAAGTTTTTACAAAGGAGAAAGGAAAAGAAAACAAAAACAAGCTATGTGTGCATAGCTGAACTTTTCTACGTTCTTCTCCATCTTCTCCCTCACCCCTCCTCTGTCCCAGTCCCACACTGCCGCCCCCTCTCTCCTGGGCCACTGGGCCATCCCTGCCATATCTTAACACAGGACTCTTGGGCAGACGTCCCCCCCGCACGCTCTCTGTGGGTTAACCGGTGCGGGTGCTCACAGAAAACATGGAGGCCACGCCGGGGGGCAGCTCCGTGCTCGGGAGCAGTGAGGGGGAGAGGCAGGGGGAGAGGCAGGTGAGGTTGCTGTCACGGTTGGGTTCCAGCCTCTGGCCTGATGGTCGACTGCTGGAGCTTAGTGGCATTTTTAGTGTAATCATGACATAGAATTTCTGTCCTGGACTCTGTTAAAGCCAGTGGACGTGCTGACCACGGGGCAGCTGAGGTAAATCACGGAGATACAGAGTCCCTGGTGTTTCCCAGCGCGGCCCGGATGGTGTGAGCTGACCGCACCACAGGCCCCGTGCAGGCCTCTGCGTCTGGGGCCCTGGCACCTGGGGGCTGCTGTTTGACCCGCACACCCTTCCTTGAAGCCTTCCGTAACGTGCCCTCCTCTCCTCCTGAGCCTGTCTCTTGTCTGGATCCTCCTGTCCCGCCACCTTCCACACAGCTCGCCCCTGGAAACTGTGAGGCTCCCTCACGTGGGGACGGGCGCAGACGGCTGGCTGCTGGGGTCTGCGGCAGAGGCGTGCGGCCCGGAAGGCTGCTCCCACCGGCAGACCCGGGTGGTTGGGCCAGAGGGGCCTGAGCTGGGCTGTGGGCCGCCTGGGAGAAAAGTGTGTAGCAATGCCGCTAGCAAAATCTTTGTGTGAGCCATTTTATGCTGGCTTTTTGTTGTTTCTTCTTAAAATAAGACCTAGAAGGAAATCATCCCCGATTTTGTCATTCCAAGGAGAGGGGAAGGGAACTGTCCAGTTTTGCACATGCTCTTCGGGGTAACGAAGCGGCCAGCCACGTTCCTAAACGAGTTGCTGCCTGCCACCACCGGGGGCTCCAGGGAGGGCCTGGCCCAGAGCACGGGCAGTAGGTGGGTGGGGACGCGCCCCAAAGAGCGCACCCTCGGGCCGCCGCAGCTGCATGACGCCCGCGCTCTGAGCGCTGTGTCCAGCATGGAGCCGGGAGCGGCGCGCGGAAGTCCTCGGGGCCCTGTACTGCTTTGAGGAAGCGGGGCTCGTCCCGCCAGCGAGAGTGCGGGGCGGACGCAGGGGTCCTCCGGAGAGGGCCGGTGGTCTTGGCAGATGCTCTAGTGCTTTGTCGACAGCTTTGCGCTCCCCTTCTGCCTCCACCCTCACCGCGCGCTCCTACCACCTGGTCCCCTTCAGGCCGGGATCTTGTTTCTGAGGTCCCTTCTCCGACGGCTGCTCGCCTGACGAGTTGCCCGCACTCACCTGCCCTGTGCGCTCATCTGCTCTCTCTCTTCCCTGCGGGTGTGTGACTGCCGTCCCCGTGACCAGCTGCCCTGCCCTGTCCCCCCTCTGCTGCCCCTGCGGGAGCCACACATGCTTGCCGCTGCCCGTGCACTCAGCAACACGGCCAGGCCCGCACACCGAATTCCAGGGCGCATTGTATGTCAGAAGGAAAGAAAGGTTTTTCTCATTTTGAAATACAACAGAACAGCCCCGGATGCTGTTCCAAGCTCAAGGTGTTGTACCCTTCCGGTGGACCTGCCGTCAGCGCGACAGAGCTTCCTGGTTGAGAAAGAGTAAAAACAAAAGGTCACCTGTTCGCCAGCCCTTTCCTCTACCCCTGTATTTTCTCTCCTTCCCCTCCCCAATAAAAACAGAAAACACTAGAATTTATTTATATGTATTGATGTTGTAGGTCTAGGTGAAAAAAAGTAAATGTTTCACTGCTCTATTTATATATAATGTCTGAATTATTCTGTGCAGGAAAGGCCAGGAAATTGCATGTGAAGTTCAGTGCATTCACCACCTCTGTGTGCCCGAGCTGCGGTCTCTTTCCCACTAAGATACAGATTTTAAATTGGGCTTGGGGCAGAGGGCAGGTCTGAGGCCTGCCTGACCCCGCATCCCTTCCTCGGTCTGATGAAATGCAGTTTTTAGTGCAGAGAGGTTTTAAGGTGCAATATCTCTTTTCACGTGGTTTTTAGAACCAAGCTCAAGGTAATAGGGCTTAGGGTCTTAGTCTGGTTTCAAACCCCCATCCTTAGAATGCAAATCCATGGGGAGGCCTCTGCCAGGATGCCATGGGGCTTTTGGTGGGAACAGGTGAAGACCAGCACTTACCTTTCTGGGGCTGCTGAGATTGGGGTGGAGGGAGAATGGCGGGGGGTGGGGTCAGAACCCTGTCAGTGCACCTCTCCCTCCCTTCTGATGCTGGCAGCTTGGCCCTGGCCATTGATGGTGCAGCCTGTTGCTTGGCATCCAGTGACCCTGCAGTAGTGTCTGTCCAGTGTCAACTGCTCAGTGGGGTGACATCCTGGAGTGTGGGGTCGAGTGTTCAAGAGGCATACACCCCCCTTGAAAACCTCTCTGCCAGTTATATTTGATCTGGTTTTCTTTAGTGTTGCTTCCCCCTTTTTAGTCCACATTGTTGTTTTCAAACTTGGAATTCATACACTTCTGGCTCTGGGTTCCTTATGAGGGAAAACAGAGAATGACTTATTCAGAAATTGGTTGAGTTCCAAAGATGTGGTCATTCCAGCCACTTGGAGGGGTATTGGGGAATCTTGTGAAGTACTGACCTTGGGTCTCTCCAGCTATGCCCTCGCCCTCCTGTCTTCTGGATCTGCCCTCTGGATGGGTGATGAGGTTTGTGACTGATGCTCAGAGCCAAGGAGGCTGAGGGTGTGCACGAGTGCACGGCCGTGTTCAGAAATGGCCCACTGAGGCAGTGCGTGGCAGACTGGTGAAGCCCCTCCCTGCTGTTCGGTTCCCCTCCACCAAGTAGCTGCATGTTGCCTCTCAAATATGTATTTGTCCCTTTTCACTGCTTGCAGAGCAAGCCTGGGTTAGGTGGTCTGTGGGAAATGGCCTTTGACAACTAAGGGCACTAGAGTGTTTGTGCTTTGTCATGTTCTGTGCTGAATGGGAAATGCAGACTTCCAGAAAGCCAGCTCTTCCTGCTTGAAAACATGAGATGGACCCAAGAGATCACCTGGGACTGGGTGGCTCAGTGTTGGGGTCAGGCACTGTGCCCTAGCCATGCCCTCCATCAGGACCACCAGTGCATACTTGGCTAGTGCTCTTCCGGGTGCCTCTGACCTTGCCGTTCACCATTTTCCCACCCTGGCTGGGTGGCTGTGTCCCCGGGACCCTGTCTTCAGCATGTTATGAAGCCTCAGAGAGGAAATGTCTATGAAGGCTCTGGGTGGATGACTTTCTTCCATGGTTTAAAGGGGATACTGTACTCTGAGCTTTTGACCTCATGCCTTGCGTAGTAAAAAGGGTTTGGGTTTTTTGTTGTCGAGGGTTTTTTGTTCCCTTTTGTTTTGGCCTTTCCTCTTTGTCTTTTCATGTAGACCAGATATTTGAAAGGGCAGACGATGGCTAAAGGTGTAATGTGCAGCTTGTTTATATATTTTCTGGGAAGCTTTTGCCTTGGATGGGAAATGGAATCATGGATTCAGCAGGCCATGTGGTACACACACCCTTTGCCCTTCCCTCCGGATCAGTACCTATTGTTTCTCCTTTCAAATATGTGATTGTACTAGCTCTTTCCATATGAAAGAATTCTCCTTATTTAAATAAAAAAATTTAAAAAAAAAAGAAAAGAAAAAGCCCTAAAGCTGAACATGCTTTCTCAGGCTGTGTGTCCCTCGATTTTCTGTGGTCATTTGATGAGAGAGATGGAAGAGTTTTTCTGGACAGCTTATGTGGAAATCGGGAGTGACTTGGCTGAAATGCTTTAAAAGCAAGGTGGGGGAGAGAAGGGATTGAAACCTATAGATAGGGTGCATCTTCCAAATGGGGGAGCATTAGTGCTGGTCCTTTCCCCTGGTGGGTGATAGGAAGGTGTGCAGGACATCTGCCTGCCCTTTGCCCTCCCCCCTACTTCCCCTGAGGAGTGGGCAGGTCAGAGGAGAAAGCATCTGATTTGTCATGGCTTATTATTATTTTTTAATTTTGAAGTAAGCTCATGACCCCAAGATCAAGAGTTGCATGCTCTACCAAACTGAGCCAGCCAGGCGCCCTGCTTTGTCGCGTTTTTGTTGTTTTTTTGGGTTTTTTCGCCACTCCTTAGTGACCCTTTTCTATTGCTGGGAGGAGAAGATTATGATGCGCTTTCGGGTAGGAGAGATGAGCACTCCAGGCTTGGGGAAGTGAGGGATCAAGAGCTTGGATTTGAGTCCCAGCGGTGATGCTCCGTTCTGCCCCCACCCACCCTAGCTGCATGACTTGGAAGGACACTCCACCCCTTGGAGTCACAATTTCAACTGTAAAATGTCGATTTAACAGTACCTACACCTCCTGGGGTAGTGTGGATTCAAAGAGGTCACTTAACACAGTGGCCTGGCAGCAGTTAAGAATATAGGAAACTTATAAATGATCCCCACGTAGAACACTTTGCATGAGGAAAGACTCCCTGCAGATTCCTTCTGCGCCTCTTGACTTTAAAGAATTGGGACCTGGGCACGCGCTGTCCGGGCTGTCTCAGCTCTAGTGGCCACACCCGTTCCCTGGATTCACTGCCCCTGGGGACGGGTGGTTCACGGAACTTCACCTAGGAGCCAGCCAGCCCCACTCCTCCCGGGGCCCAGGGAGCCCCCGGCTTCAGGCAGGATGAGCCCCAGCTCGCTCCCTTCTCCACAGCCTTGAGCGAGGCATGGGTAAGTCAGAAGTAACCCTACATTTTTAACCGGTGTCTTCTAACGCTGGCTTGACCAACGTTCGCGGGGGAAAAAAATCTTGCACGGTGAAGAACCGTAATTGTAGTTCTTAACCCTGCAGTACCCATCCATGAGATGAACACACACGTACACGAAAGGACAGGAAGAGGGAGACTGGGAAGAAGGGTGGTGTTCCCGTCCGTTAAACGTCCCGCCCCGCCGTTCTCCTGGCCAAAGGCGCTGTGTCTCCTGCAGGGGGGGGACGGAAGAGTGGCGGCGGGCGGTGCAGGGGCCCAAGGGACCCTGGGGAGCGGTGGGCGGGGACGCCAGGGGTGCGGGGGTCCGGTGGGGTGCGGGGGAGCGGAGGCGGGGGGCGCGGGAGCCCGAGGGGAGATGGGGCGGGAGAGCGGCGGCCGGGAAGGGCGGAGCCCGGGGAAGATGAGACCCCGGAGTCTGCGCGGGACGCGCGTGCGCGGCTTGCGGACGAGCTGGGGCGGGGGCATCGGCATCCGGCCCGACAAGGGGCGGGGCCGAGGGCAGGTGCGCCGGAGGAGAGAGGGGCGCCCCAGCAGGTGCAGCCTTGGGAGAGGAGGGGGTGCAGCCTGAGGGAGAAAGGGAATGCCTGGAAGAGGAGTGGGGGCCTCCCAGGACCCATGAGGTCTCTGCCGAGAAGAGGCCCGCCAAAGCGGCGGCAGCACTGACCCTGCCCGCCCTCCCGGCGCACGTGCGCACCCGCGGGCTCCGGGCAGACACCCGCACGCGAGGTGCTCGCCGGACCGCACTGAGACGCACGTGGTTAAGGCCCGACTGTCTTGTTTTTTTAAAAAAAGACACCGGAGCGTTCAGTGGGCACGAGGTTCCTGGAATACTAAAGCCGTTAACGACGTTACTATAGAGAAGGGTCTCCGCGAGGCCCCAGACCCGGAGGGCCCTTGCGACGCACGCGCGTTGCTCTGGCCCAGGGCGCACGCGCGCCGCTCCCGCGAAGGGCTCCGCAGGCACGGCGAGTCGAGCGTCGAGTAGGAGGTGCGTGGGCGGCGCCGAGTGCCGAGCGGTCTCGCCCCCGGGCGCGACGAGAACCCCTAACGGTCGCCGCCCCCCGCGCCCCCGCCGGCAGATCCGAGGCAGGGCCGGACGCGGGGAGCACCTCTGCGGAAACTCGACGAACCGAGAGTACGTTTGGGGCGCCAGGGACGAGCGCCCAGATGAGACCCCGGGGAGTCTGCGCGGGACGCGCGTGCGCGGCTTGCGGACGAGCTGGGGCGGGGGCATCGGCGTCAGGCCCGACAGGGGGCGGGGCCGAGGGCAGGTGCGCCCGGGGAGAGAGGGGTGCCATGGCAGGTGCAGCCTTGGGAGAGGAGGGGGTGCAGCCTGAGGGAGAAAGGGAATGTCTGGAAGAGGAGTAGGGGCCTCCCAGGGCCGATGAGGTCTCTGCCGAGAAGAGGCCCGCCAAAGGCCAGATGCAGCTTTGTTTGGTGCGAGAAAGGGCGCTTAGCGTAGATGCAGCCTTAAGACAAGTGGAGCGCAAGGGAAGATGATGCCTCGGGGAGGAAACGGGGGCGCCTGGGTACAGATGCACCGTCAGGGTGAGAAAGGGGGCGCTTAGGGGATGGGGAGCCTTCTGAGACCCAGAAGGGCGAGGTTGGCGAGGTCCGCGCTCTTCCCTAATAAGCAGCTCCTCTCCGGGAAGTGCTCAGCTGGTGTTCCTCGAGTGACTTGTTGAGTGAGTGAATATTCAGTCCTGAGGTCCCCGAATTCTCACCTTAGTTGACTCCTGGTGTCCTCCTGACTTTCTCTCAACGACCTGTCCCTAACGCACGGTTCTTCGTGGTGCACCTGAGAGCCAGGGGGGTTGCAGTGCTTTTCCTCGTATCTGTGAGCCTTCAGGGTTGCTGCTTATTTATTGATGCCATCTCTTCCCTTCTTCTCCAGGGCATCCTCAAGGACCTGCTGCTCTACAAGATGTTGGGATTTTTGAAGCGCCCTGTGGTGGTGACAGCTGACATCAATTTGAATGTTGTGGTTCTGACTGCAGTGGGCTTACTGAGCCGCCTGTGGCAGCTTGCCTATCCAAGGGCTGTGGTGTAAGCCAGACAACCCCACTCAGGGCGAATCGGAAAGAATTGTAATTTGTTCATGTGTTGGTGACAGAAGGTGCCCTTCTGAACAGCAGAAGTGAGAGGGTGGAACTCGGTGATGGGTGTTTTGGGCAGAGGAGAGGCCAGTTTGTCCCCCAGAACAGCACATGCTGAGTCCACCTATCACATCTTGCCCTGTAGTTCTCTAGCAGGTGAAATCTGGCCCCTGAAACAGGTAGCAGCTGTAGGTAACCATTTAAAATCAAGGGTGGAGGGTGGAGGATTGATGGATTTGGAAGTGAGTCACCATTGACCTTTGAGTGAATTCTTCATTCTAAGGAGAGATGACTGCTGGTGGTATTACAGGGCCGTTCACTATCTGGTTAATACATGTGTTCAAAAATGAACAAAAAAGCTTAACTTTTCACTGTGGAACACATTAAACGTACACAAAAGGAGGGAGAATAGTTTAACAACCCCCTCCCCAATCAATGTATTCATCACTCAGCTTCAGTGGATTTTTTGGGGGGCAAGTCATAATAAGCAGCATGTTTAAGTAATTTGGTGTATTTCTGAAAGATGAGAACTCTTAAAAACAAAAACTGATTTAACGTTAGCATGCCTAAGAAATTGACAGCAGTATTGACAGGATCCTTGAATGTCCCTGATTGTCTGAAAACATTTGTTGCCGTTGGTTTCTGCACATCTCCCTGTTAGCCCTGCACCTGGTTACCAGGTGTGATTCTGACTCTTAGTCACAGACGTAGCCCCAGGTCTCTGAGGCCTCTCAGTAGGCTGCCTGCTAGCACGTCCCTAAATGAAACTGGGGAGGGTAAATAGAGTCTGTGTTGGGCAAACATCCTGAGTGTGTGGCTGTTCTTGGTGAGTTTTCCCTCCTGTCCTTGTGGATGGATGATGCTGTGCACCTGTCTTAACATTTGGGGATGTAGTACAGTTGCGGCAGAAGCCCTGACCAAGGCTGAGCACTCTCTAACCTTGTTTGGAAACAGGTTAACGTTTACCCTGATAACCTGTGTTTGGTGAAGATTTCTAGTTGAATATCATGCGGGTTTGCTTTTCAGTTTCGATGAAGTATATTATGGGCAGTACATCTCTTTCTACATGAAGCGGATCTTCTTTCTGGACGGCAGTGGGCCACCATTTGGCCACATGCTGCTGGCCTTAGGAGGTAGGATTCATTAGTAAGAGAAGTAACCCTTTAAAACTTATAAGTGAGGGGTGTCCGACTGGCTCAGTCGGTGGAGCACGATTCTTGATCTCGGGGTTGTGAGCTCAAGCCCCACGTTGCGTGTAAAGATTACTTAAAAATAAATTAATAAATAAAGCTTATTTGCAACACCTAAATGAATAAGTAAATAAATAAAATTGTGGCAATTTATTTAAAAGGTAATAAAATTCATAGGTGAAATATCTTGAGGGCAGAAACCATGTCTGATTATCATTGGTTCCCTATTGCTGCCACCGATTGGCACTCCCCCAACTCTTGGCTGTGCGGGATAGTTACTGACTCATCTTCTGTTTCAGGTTATTTAGGAGGATTCGATGGTAACTTTTTGTGGAACAGAATTGGAGCAGGTAAAAGGTCATTTTCACGTCCCTTGTGACATTGCACATGTTAGGATGGAGAGGGATCGGCTTTCATAGGGATTAACAGCATGGTTTATTAATTTGTCCAGGGCATGATAAATTCGGTACAAGTGGAAGGCTTTTGAAAGGTCTGGTAGACATCTTAGCGCTTAATCATAGTCCTTATTTTGTCCTTGGTTTTCGGTATACATAGCACAGTCTGTACTTGGCGTCTGATCGCAGTTATCTTTTGTACATGTAAGTTTTGTCTGTTGCTTCAAATGTTTTTGGGAAAAGATGGGGTAGATTTATAAATAAGTAAAGCACTAACTACTTTCAGAATCATTAGGCATTGTTTCTGCGCTTGATGAGAGCTAGGCTTTGACTGCGCACGGCCAATGTCACAGCTTTTATCTGCAGCGTATGCACTCCATTCCTGACATGGTCCCTAGTTTTGCAAACTTGCATTTTAGGGTCTGTGAACATGACACTGTGTTTGAAAACACACCTGCAGTGCAGGAAGATGGTGCGTGCACCGTGTGCTCAGCTCTGCTGTGGTTGCTTTTCCAGAATACAGCAGCAACGTGCCCGTGTGGTCTTTGCGCCTGCTGCCGGCCCTCACCGGGGCCCTTCTGGTGCCCATGGCCTACCAGATCTTGCTGGAGCTCGGCTTTTCTCATTGCACCGCCACGGGGGCCGCTCTGCTGATGCTTATCGGTGAGACCCAGGCCTCCACCTGCTTCGGTGTCACGCAGGGAAGAACCCAGCGCGGGCCTTGGATATGTCCCAGTGTGCGGCCCAGGAGAGCTCGTGGGTTTCGTAGATGTGCCCCTGCAGGGTCCCCTACTCCCAGGTTGGAAGGAAGTGTGCCCACTTTGTCCACATTTAACTCTGGGAGTCAGTCGCTCTCCTCCCAGGGTGTGGGGTGGCGGGACCGTGTGGTCAGACTTGTGCAGCTGAATACATCCACGTACCATGGAGTTGGTATTCCTTCTGCCAGTGAGAAAGATAAAGACTCAGAAAGGTTCGGTGACTTGCCCAGGGTCACACAGGTCTTGCTAGGCGTGATTCACACCTAAGAACTCACCTTCGCCGTTCTGGAGCCCGTCCCCTTCCAGCCACCCAATCCTGAACCTCCTGTGGCCACGTTCTGTGGCATTTAGAGGGTGTCCTTTTTTTTTTTTTTAAAGATATTTTATTTATTATTTATTTGAGAGAGAGAATGAGAGAGAGAGAGCACGAGAGGGAAGAGGGTCAGAGGGAGAGGCAGACCCCCCGCCGAGCAGGGAGCCCGATGCGGGACCCGATCCCAGGACTCCAGGATCATGACCTGAGCCGAAGGCAGTCGCCCAACCGACTGAGCCACCCAGGCGCCCTAGAGGGTGTCCTTTCTGTGGGTGCTCCCATCTCCTTACGTTTGCCCCTGCTCCCTGGCAGCTGACTTACATGTCCTCTTTCTAACAGAGAATGCTCTCATCACTCAGTCAAGGCTCATGCTTTTGGAGTCAGTGTTAATATTTTTTAATCTGTTGGCTGTGCTGTCCTACCTGAAGTTCTCCAACTCCCAAAAACAGAGGTATGCAGAAGGGGACACGTCCTTCCTAGTTAATGAGAAAGAAGAGTCTGGGTGGTTTGTTGACCTGAGAAGGTCTGATGCCTTTTCATTTGGGGAAGCTGCTTGTGGACTGTCTTTCATCATTTAGACTGGCCCTTGGCTCCTGACTTCACAAATACATTCTCATTTTCATATAATTTAAAAAATTTTTTTTTAAGATGATTTATTTGAGAGAGGGCAGAGTGAGCAAGAGAGTGCATGAGCAGGGGGAGGGTCAGAGGCAGAGGCTCCCCACGGATCAGGGAGCCCGATGCGGGACTCAATCCCAGGACCCTGGGATCATGACCTGAGCTGAAGGCAGACACTTCACCGACTGAGCCAGCCAGGAGCCCCTCATTTTTATATAATTTAAACTAACTGGGAAAATGTTCTGGCCAAAAAGAAAAAAATTCTGCTGGGACTGAGATTTGGCAGACGGTTCATTTTTCTCGTCTTGAAGCTTGGTACGGCCAGCCGACCCCAAGAGGTCTGAGGAGTGTGCCTTCTTGGGCGATGTTTCGTGAACCGTGCCCAGCTTTGCTCTTCTGCTTTGACCCCAGGCCCTTCTCTCTGAGCTGGTGGTTTTGGCTGACGCTGACGGGAGTGGCCTGTTCCTGTGCGGTGGGGTGAGTCTGGTCCACGGGTCTCAGACAGCCTTGGCATCCTCCTCGTTCTGTGCCTCGTTGTAACGATTTCTCTTCGGGTCTTTTCAGTGTCAAATACGTAGGTGTTTGCACGTACCTGCTGGTGCTCGCAGTCGCCGGCGTCCATGCCTGGCACCTGATCGGAGACCGGACTCTGTCACACGTAGGTGCCGCTGTGGAGCGGGGCGAGCGGCCATCCCCAGGGTGGGCGGAGGTCGGTGTTACACGAGTGTCTGGGGAGAAAGGCTTCTCCAGAAGACGGGCCTTCGTGAGTGAGCCTCCCGCCAGTGGCCGTGGGGAGCCCAGAGCTCCACTGGCCACTTCCTTGGGGCCTGCCTGTTTGGAGCAGGTGCACCTCCCCGAGCGGCAGGACGTGACCTGTCCATCTTGCGGCAGGTCCGTGTGCTCTGTCACCTGCTTGCCCGAGCGGCAGCGCTGCTGGTCGTTCCGGCCCTCATGTACTTGCTGTTCTTCTATGTCCACTTGATTCTGGTCTACCGCTCCGGGCCCCACGATCAGATCATGTCCAGTGCTTTCCAAGCCAGCCTGGAGGTAAGGAGGGGTGCCACGGCTGCCTCAGAGAGGAGATAGACTAGACTCAGCGTTTTCTTTTCTTTTTAAGGTTTTATTTATTTATTTGAGAGAGAGTCAGAGCACAAGCAGGGGGAGTGGCAGAGGGAGAGGGAGAAGGAGGCTCCCCACTGAGCAAGGAGCCTGATGCAGGGCTCCATCCCAGGACCCTGAGATCATGACCTGAGCCGAAGGCAGAGGCTTAACCAACTGAGCCACCCAGGCGCCCCTAGACTCAGAGTTTTCTTATGTAAACACTGTCAAGTGTTAGGGGGAAAACCAGATCAAGACGTAAAGAATCCTCCTTTAGTATTTCTAAAGAAATTCTGCGTGTGCGGATGGTGTGGAAATAGACGAAGGGGTCAGCTCTTCAGTGTGACCTGCCTGAGGACATGGTGAAGTCCTACAGACTCGGGACAGGTGCACACGCATCACAGGACAAGCTCTAGTCTGGCATTCATTCCTACTGACTTTGCAGAGAATGTAAAACGTACTGATTGTGGTGGTGAGGACAGGAGAGTCAGATGGGACCCGTTCTTGAGTGCTGGCTCTGGTCACAGCTAGGCATACGTGTTTGGGCAAGTTTCTTAGCTCATCCAAGTGCTAGTCTTCTCACCTTTTTTTTTTCTTTTAAGATTTATTTATTTGAGGGGCACCTGGGTGGCTCAGCAGTTAAGCTTCTGCCTTCGGCTCGGGTCATGATCCCAGGGTCCTGGGATCGAGCCCCGCATCGGGCTCCCTGCTCCGCAGGAAGCCTGCTTCTCCCTCTCCCAC